GGATTCTGAATTCAATCTGAGGATTCCGACTTTAATCTGAGGATTCCCAATTTAATCTGAGGATTCCAACTTCAATCTGAGGAGTATGACCCCCCCCCCCCCCAACTTTAATCTGAGGATTCCGACTTTAATCTGAGGATTCCGACTTTAATCTGAGGATTCCGAATTTAATCAGAAGATTCCGACTTTAATCTGAGGATTCCGACTTTAATCTGAGGATTCCAAATTCAATCTGAGGATTCCGACTTTAATCTGAGGAGTCTGACCCCCCCCCCCCACACACACACATACACACACACACACACAACTTTAATTTGAGGATTTCGACTTTAATCTGAGGATTTCGACTTTAATCTGAGGATTCTGACTTTAATCTGAGGATTTTGACTTTTTTCTCAGAAGAAAGGAGTGGGGGGGGGGGGGGGGGGAATTGCACCGTGGCCCCATTCCTCTTCCGTACTTGATGCTCACTTGGTCACAAAACTCAGATTATATCAGATGTTTCTAAAACAATTGTCTAGTTGGAACATGTAGAATAGTGTTGCAGTAGAGAGGAAATATACTGCCCTAAAAAGCAACCCTGCTGCTCCTCCATCCTTCACATTTTACTGCCCTCCTGTGTTTGACCATCTCACAAGCAGATAGAGATGCATACAAAACATAAACCCTCCTTTTAATTATGTACTGAAAAGATAAACAATAATTAAAATAAAATCCACAAAAAACGTACTCTCACGTCACAGACGTCTTGTATTCTGTGCGTTTTAAGCAGGTGAATGTCAAAACCAGCTGAATGTGAGAGACAGCTGTGCGTGAAAATAAAAATGTGTAAAGTTTGTAGCTAGCGCTGCTCAGATTTCTGTGGTTTCATCCCAGAAGAACTCTCTGGAGACGATCGGCCTGCACGCTGTGCTCGTCCTCTGACTCGGCATCGCTTTGCGGGTTGGAGCTGCAGGGGGAGGTGCACTCGGGGGAGCACAGATAGTGCATGAGGGGCAGCCGGTACTTCCCGCAGAAGTCAACAAATTTAATCTGGCGTACGCACGAGTCAAAATACACACCTGGGGAGAAACAACAGCAAAGTTAGTGTCCACCAAGCCACCTTCATCTCGCTCTGGAACTCCTGGAGCAAACGTCAAATCAGCTGCATTTCACCGCAGTGACGCATAATAAATACGACTCATATGGAGAAGCGACATATTTTTATTTTTTTTTTCACTTTATTACACATTTTGGACCGATGCGACTTATACAGCGATGCGACTTATACAGTGATGCGACTTATACAGCGGTGCGACGTGTATGGCGGAAAGTATGGTAGATCATTTTGAATCAAACAATAATAACACAAGCAAAATCATTCATTAACATAATTAGGCCTGTCACGATAACAAATTTTGCTGGGTGATTAATTATCTCAGAATTTATTGTGATAAATGACAATATTGTTTGAAATTTGACAATAATTAGTATTTATTTTCAAATTTAAGAAGAAATGTTGATTAATTTTTGTGTGTAGTACAGTTTTTGACCACTGGATGGCAGTATAAAATGGTTTGAACCAAAGAATGGATAGTGACGAAGCGAGCAGTGTGTCTCTAAGAAAAATGGGAGGGAGGCCCCTTGACGTAACGTGGGCTGTCTTTGGATCCTGTTTTTCGGTTCTTAAAATGGCAGACGCTCGGTGTGGTTTGAGCTCTTTAGCATAGCATTTGTCACACAAAGCTTTTAATACAAAAAACAATAAACAAGTTCTCAGCTTCTTTTTGAAGAAAAAAACTTTTTACACGAAGGCACGGGTTTCAACCGTGAATTTTGGAGCTTTGACAAAGCTGAAGTCCCCACCCCCACACCACCCCCCAAGGTCAGCCTGTTAGCTTAGCTCGTAGCTTAGCTTCTCAGTTTAGCCACTTTTAACGATCCAAAAACGCGATTTTGGACGGTCAAAATGGATTTTAAAGAGAAAAGAGAAAGGGAGGGGTCAGTGAAGAGCACCGGAGTTGAGCCTTTTGTCATCGAGTGTCTTCAGTAGAAAGAGAGACGAAGAAACGATAAAGCCGATAAATGAAAATGAGGTTGATAGTTTTCATTCATCATGTGATTAATTAATTCATTGTTTATTGCGACAGGCCTAAACATGTCAATCTCTGTAATCCAGGTAGATGTAGAGCAGGTTGTAAATTCATTCATTCATTTGTTCAACCTCTATTTATACAGGATAGTCTCAATGCACAAACGTATCTTTCTGAAAAGTTAGTATATGCTTTTATAATTGTGAAGTTTTACATTTTAATTAAAATAAAATGAAAAGTCTGATTCTGTTGGGATTGGATGTTTGTGCTAAAATCCTGTATCTGTAGCTGCAGACATGTTGCTGTGCATTATACTGCAACATCTTCTCTTTACTTTAGTGTCCAAGACATTCTTTCACGTTTGTGGTTTGTCCAATCACAGCTTTGATAACCTATATATATATATATATATATATTTTTTATCCCAGAGGAGAAAAAAAACAACAAACATTCTCAAAGCAAAGTCTCCGAACAACTCGGACTTCTTCAGACTACCAACAGCACAGCCTCGACTTGGAGAAACTTGCTGTGACATTTCTTCCTGAGAATTCTGGCAACAGTCTTGGATATTTTCCAGTTGTGAAGAATTTTTCTCACTGTATAATTATGTGGAAACTCCAAAACGGTTTTAAATTGTCTTTCTAACCCTTCCAAGCATGACTGGCAGAAAAACTGCTTCTCCAAGACAATCATGTCTTTCTTAAATGAATTGGCGTCAACACACCCGAGTGCTCCAGAGCTGCAAACTCTTCCGCGTTTGTTTCCTAAGCTCCATCACTTCCATTACAGCAGTAATGTCCATGTACTAGGCTTTTCATGCATTGCCACTGAAATCTGGATTAATTATTGTTCAATAAATAAGGTGTTTCATTACATGCACTATTTGTATAAAACCGCTCCTATCTTATTTATAATCTGATAAGGCCCACATTTATTTTTATTATGCCATTAGCCTGATAAAAGGGACGATCACAAAGACTCTTGATAAAACACACTTTGATAAAAAGACAGCAAACAACAGGAGAAAAACAGCAACATAATAATCTTAATTTGAAGCTAAACCAACACAGAGAGAAAAGTAAAGCCTCACCGGCACACTTGGGGTTGGGACACTTGCTGGCCAGGTCCAGATAGCGCAGCAGATTTGACGGCAGTTCATGAGGGAAGTAAGGAATATTTCGGCTCTTTATGGTTCGTCCTGCCAGCTCCAGCAGCGACGGAGGGTCGTAGGTCATCTCTTTGACGAAGCGCACAACCAGCGGGTTGCCTCTGAGACTGAGCTCCTGCAGGTGGACCAGACTGAGGATCTCTCTGGGCAGGTAAGTGAGCAGGTTGTTGTGGAGGCTTAAAGATCGCAGAGAGTGGAGTCTAAAACCGCACAGGGAGGAACAAGAAGTCAGCTACAAACTACAACTACTGGAACGAGACGTTTAAACATTTTGAGGTACTCCTTGTAGAAACTGCACATGACTGGTTGAGCTGCTGAGGCAGTGTATTGTTTTACCTGGTCAGCTGTGGAGGCACACCTTGGATTCGGTTATCACATAGCACCAGGTAAGTGAGGCGGGGAAGGTTTGCTACTTCAGGAGGAATGGCTGAAATAAGGTTTCCACCCAAATACAACATCTCCAAACTGACAAGAAGAAGACAAGAACAACAGAGCTCTAGTTATCAGCTTATTTAAAGCTTGTAAACCAATATAAACCTTAAAAACCAAAAAAGTTCATGCGCAATAATCCAGGTATACAATCCAACAATTTTCCAAACTTGTTGGGTAATTTAAAGCTTATTTATTTAAACTTTTGTGTCTCTTTTCACCAGTGTAGATCTAATGCTTCTATTAAAGTGAAACAGTCTAGGGCATTATATAAAAATTACAACAACTTTCAACGATAATAAAGTTTAATGTCAAAATGCAGGACATTAAAACATGCTTTAAACTTTTATTAGCCTTTACTTTGATTGCAATTAAGACAGTTTGTTATGCAACCTGCAGTTTGAACAACAGAATAGTATATTTTTTTATTGTTCATATTAAATCTTAATTGAAGGAGGACATACAAGTCAAACTTTCAGAAAATGTGGCACAATTAAAACGACCTCCCACCAGGGGGCGCTACAGCTGCACAGACGCATGCTAGAGTCACAGCGATACTTATGTTTGAATCTTGTCTGTGACACTTGTTTTAGAAATATTTGTGAAATTGTTTTGCGTTACAGTAAAGTTTTGCCCATCCTTTTACTCTTCTTTGTGCTTTACTCCATAACCATCACATCTTAGTGAAAAACGGTACGAGTGTGCAAAAGATTCAACGCCGTGTGCATTTGCATATCTGAAAAGCGATTAATATACAGTAAAACCAATGCACGGCGAACAAAAGGTGGGAACGCGGTGAATCAAAGACAGAGACCAGGAGAGAACTATGGATGACTCGTCAGCAAACGTAAGCTGCCAGACCATCTGCCTGCTGGAACTGATGACACAGCAAGAGTCTGTGAGGAGGGCATTATCCTGTTCTGGTGGCAGAGCCCCCTTCTGTGGTGGACACGGAGACATTTAGAGCCCGTTTAATGTTCACAGTAATGCAATGACACATAAACACTAGTCAGTTAGGACCCTGCTTACAATTTCACAAGCTCCACTGCAATAATAATTTTAACACCAACGCTGAGCTAATGATTCCGTTACACAAAAAAGTCAAACACTTATAAGGAATAACAGCTTAGCTCCTTATCAAGGTCTGTCTTTTCATTCTTCTACAATTATAAAGACGTTTACTGTAGTACAAAAAGACTGTAATCCTGTTCAAGATTTTCAGATATGGACTCTATTTCTAATATGCATTAACCTATAGTCAAAGGTAGTTTATTCAGGAATATGAGGCCTTCAGACCCACAGTTCCGCAGCAAAGTAACCAAATAATAATTCATTGTCAGGGCACAAAAAGTACAAGTATTTAACACAGTATCGCCTGTCTCAGCTTTACATATACAAGTTGTGCATCCCATTTATACTTATACAGATAAAAAGTGTTTTTATAGCTTTAAAAGCCTCATAATTGTATACTCCAAGTAACCAACTCTTTTGTATGTCGGCCATTAAACTAACATGAATTACTATCATCTAATATGTCGTGCAAGACGTGTTGCGGTATTGTACAATAAAGTTCATGGACAAAAATGAAGTGATTCTCATCTTCAACAGCTTCAATTCCTAAAACGTGTTTACAGAATAACAGCTGCTCATCCTCCTGTTACTTTCTGTGTTTGTATGTGCATATATATCGGAGCATTACGAGATATATTAGTAAAGAACAGCACTAGAGTGAAAGCTTTATACAAACCAATGTATCTAAAAAGGAATAATATATTATATTAAAGTTTAATTTAAACTCATACTCACTGCATCTTTGATAAAACAGTTTGGTGGTTTGACCTTCAATCTGGCTTTGGGTCATTGTGACTTGATACTAAACACAGGATAATAAGAATATAAAAATCTACCGTCCAATATCTTCCACGTTCACAAGACAAACAACCAGCTCCTAAATACAAACTCTTATGATACTTGTACTTTTGCATTTGTTTATTATACTTTCCCATAATGATGAACGCAGCTTTTTACGGCACCGTATAAGGTTTGCTTTGCTCTGAAATGATGCCGGAACAATTGCTCAAAGAGTACACACCTAGTTTATTTAGGTTGGGGTAATGTTTATTAGGGAACATTACCAGGTATAGCGGGTTTACCGAGTAATGTTTACCGGTCATGTTCTCAGTTTAAATAAATAGGTCAACTTAAAAAAGTAGTGTGTGTGCTTACTTTACTTTTACAGAGCGCAAATAAAACCTGACTTTGGCAAGTTCACATCTCAGCCGAAGAAAACGATAAACTGGTTTCTGTACTTTTGCCACGTACAAAAAGTAGTTACTGGCTAGATAACAGTAACCGGTCATCTATTCAGGACAGAAAGTTCAGAGACAAAGTCAATACATCCACACAGGACTGAAACGACTGTTTTACTTGGTGACAGATGTGATCACACAGGAGAACATTAGTACAAGTGAGAATACCACATAAAATAAATCTAGGTACTAGGAAAATGCATTAATGAATATGTATTAAAGGCTTTATAACCGTTATTACACATTAACAACTTAATTTGAAAACTGTCTTACTTTTCACGTTATTTTATTTTACTAGCTGTTACTGACAGTAACTCTAACAATAATGGTGGCTATTTTTGCAACTTCTTGATTTTTTTTATATCAAGCTCGTTTTGTCTGGTTGTTTAAGAGATCGTTTCCTGTATCTGCCAATACTCCGTTTCAAAAGCTGACGTAAAACAAGAGATGAGGAGCCGATTGTTCCGAGTGTTCCCTTAAAGATCAATTCCAGCATGCCTCGACATCGCACTCAGACTGATGATATCTCTTCGAGTGAGTGACCATGCCCCACAGGAGTTGTTCACCTGCAGGTTTTTTTTAATCCACCTGGAATGAGACTCAAAATCTGTTTTGATTTTGAACTTTAGATGAAGGCTAAAGCAATGCAAAAAAAGTGTGTTTAAACAATACGTTTTATTTTTCTATACTACACAGAGGAGTACATTCATACAACCTTTGTTTGCTTTTTCAGCTTTCCTGAGCTAAGGACAGGTACAGCCAAGAGGTCATTCCTGCACATAGTTTTAAATAATGACTCTTGGTATTGGTAATCAATATTTTTCCTAATTTTTTATCTTTACTAAAGTTTAAAAAAGGACTTTACTTCTGACATTCAGTAAAGTACTACAGTATTGGCACCTCCAACAAACTTTTGGCTTGTGCCAAAGTGATACAGATATTCTGCAGTTGGTTGCTTCTTTGTCCTCTTATTTAGTGAGAATTTCAGTGATACATTTTTTATTTATTTATGTTTTTTCAACCGTCTTCAATTCAGTTTTGTTGCCTTTGTATCGGCATTTATTTATTTATTTATTTACCATCAGGCGAAATTCAGGGCTACATTGTCGTGAAACAGGTTGCCATAGCAACCAGGAGAGGGTCCTGATTTCTATAGCTAAATTAAATCAAATCGCAGAGTAAACAGACCACAGGGTTGGATATTGAACAGATTTATCTATATATTCACAACATATCGACTCATATGTTCTAATACCGACTCTCTAAATCATTTATTCAGTTGTGTAATATTCTAGCAGAGTTAAATAATCAGTTGAAGTTACATATACTGTCTTTTGCTTCACATAGCTAGCACAAATAAAAAGCTTTTCGTTGTTAAAGTAACTACCGTGTCGCGTTACTTACCAGGGTAAACTTTCTATCTCTGAAGGAATACTTTTTAATCTGTTTCCACCGACTGAAAGCGACTGTAGACGAACCAGTTTAGTGCACTGGAGTGGGATCTCCTCAAACCGATTTCCGCTAAAGTTCAACACCTCCAGCTGCAAAGAGCCGAACTTCTTGGGCAGAGAAAACTCGTTCAGGCGGTTGTTTTTAGCTAAAAGAGTTTTAAGCTTGACGAGTCGCGTAATGCCCTCACAGATGGTCGTCAGTCCATTGTTGCTGATGTCCAAAAACTCTAGGTTGCAGAAAAGACTGAGCGACGAGGGGAGAGAGGTTAGTCGGTTGTAGTTCAGGTAGAGCTGTTTGGTGTCCTTTTTCCTCTGGTCGCCGACACTGTCACCGTTAAAAGTGTTCAAACTAAGACGGGAAAAATCAAGCACGCAGTCTCTTCCAGACGCCGCTCCTTCGTGACTCTCCATTTTGGCTATTTTTGAGTAAATATCAAGGCTGTTCGAGGTTTCAGAAGTTTCCCCGTCCTCGTAAACCGCGTTAGCTCCAGGAGTTGTGTATCTAAATCATAGAGAACAGTGTACTAGCCGAAACATAGTAGTTCTCTGCACTCTTTGCTAACTTAGCTATATTTAACTACTCTCAATGCTGTGATGATGAAACCCTCCCACACCGCAGCCATTCTTTGACTAGAGCGAGAGTTGCTTCCTTGTGTTCTGATTGGCTGATTTTGTACAAACTCCGCCCACCAATGCGTTGATTGGTTCTTATTTAACGTCATATTACACAAGCAGAGTTAACACGTTCCCTCCCTACCTGCAACAGGTTTACTGCTTAGTTTAATGAGATTTAAAGCAGTCACAGTGGTGATTATTATTATTGATTTAAGTTTTGCAACAATAAAACAGTGCTGGTGTTGCGCCAAGGTAAGTATAGAATAATCTATGTCTCCTGTCTTGGGATTGCGCACACATTTTATCTAAATGACTACACATTCAAGGTTCTTTATTGTCATTCGCATCACATGTGGTACATGAGGTGGAATGAAATTGTGTACTCAAGATCCCAGTGACACCATAGCAAAAATATAAAGTATAAAAAGAAACAGTATATAAGGACCTAAGATATACACTGATTTATGCTAAATGATACGTTAAATTGAGTTTAAAAAAAAAGTCAAACCACAAAACAGTTACGTATTTTAATTTATTGTGTGAGTTTTGCCAGTTTATTGTGTAGTAAATGGAATGGACTGTACTTATATAGCGCCTTTCTATCTTAATGAGATACTCAAAGCGCTTTACGCTACAATCTGCGCTCGCATTTACCCATTCATACGGCACTCTATAGATCTCTACAAAGCTAATTGAACAAATCATAGTGAGTGTTGTTTTTTACAACTACTTTGGCACAACACCAAGTCCTTGAGTCATTATGTAACAACATAGTACAGTTAAAACCAATAATGCCCTGTGGACCTTATGTACACAGAATTAAATATACAAGTACTAAATAAATAGGTTCACTCTGTTGAGTCAGAATCAGAATGTACTACGTTGTAATGTCACTGGAGCTGTGACTGCCAGCAAAATGTATAAACAAGAGTTAATGTTTTAGCAGTTTTTCAGAAAAAAATTGGGAAGTGATCCATAACGCAAGGAGACAATAAGGTAGAGAGCAAAAACAATTCAAGAAACGTGTAATACAGTACACAGTGCCTGTTTCTAGAGGTGGAAAAAGTTGAAATGCTGTTGAAAAGACTATAAATTAATTAATTAATAAATAGCTGGTCTGTAAAATGTTTAAGGCTATCCTGAACCATAGCTCAAGAAGGAGAAATACTCACTACTCTGTGTATGGAATGCTAAAAGCTTGAGTGTTTTAATAGTGGCTGTTGTCAATGTAAAACTGGAAGAAAATAAATTGGGGGAAATTTTCTCATCTACAATATAACAAATTCCATCGTTTTATTTTTTGCTGATTGCCATGATGGGTTGTAGGGGGAGAACTGAGACATCTCTCTATCTCCAGCTTATCCTGGGGGATTCCAAAGTGTTGCCAAACCAGAGGATCCCTTCAGTGAGTTCTAGATATGCTCTGGAGTCTCCTCCAACTGAGACATGGATGGAAAACCAACGAAGCGAGGCACCCAGTAGGCATCCTGATCAGATGCCTGAACAACCACAGCTGACTCCTTCCAGTGTGGAGGAGCAGCAGCTCTACTCCAAGCTTCCTCAACATGACTGAGACCGGCCGCCCTATGAAGGAAGCTTACTTCAGCTGCTTGTGTCTCTGGTTCTTTTAGGAAAGGGTTGGAACAGACACGCCAGGTCTCATTAGAAGAGATATCGATGATTGAGTGCGATGTCGAGGCATGTTGGAATTGATGTTTTGGGGAACACTCAGAACAATCGGCTCTTCATCTCTTGTTTTACGTCAGTTATTGAGACTGAGTATTGGCAGATACAGGAAACAATCTCTTTAACAACCTGATAAAATAATCACGAGTAAAAAAAATAAAACAAAAACACCAGAGCTTTGCCTGTTGGCAACTATTTTTCCACCACAACAGATTACTTATTTTGACGTTATATTAAAAACTGCAAACAGCAACAACAATGTCTGTCGGATGAAATCCCCTGGAAATGTCACTGTTAAAAAACAATATCTGTACATACAGATGTTTTTTGACCATATCTACTAGCTGTGCACAAGAAGTCTCTTTCTAGTTGCTGCCAATCAACAAAAACCTGAGAGCATTCATTAAGATATTTGAAGATATAATCTCTCATTGTTTGGCTACACTACTATTATTACTGTATTAACATTTATGGGCAAAGACAGCAAATAAGTTGTCCTTTGAACCCAGGCTGGGAACAAACCAGTAGTCAGGGATTTGCCCATTTGAGCGACCTTGAGTGTATATGTGGGCACAACAAACATTTGATAAGGAGAATTTCATAAAAACTTTAATTTGTTGAAAATAAAATAAAAATTGGCAGAAAAAAAAAAGAACAGGATGGACCACGCTGATACAAAATGACAAATGGGCATCATGTCGTGGGAACTTTATTGGCAAACATTCCTTACAAACTGCACTTTTAGTGGCACAGAGAAATCTATAGCAACTTTCACACAAATGTTTAAGGGACAGATTTATAAAGTACTATAGTTTTCTGATAAACTTCAGCAAAGCACTCATTCTTGCAACATCCGATGAGGAGGCAACGGTAGAAGGTGATTCTTTTTGTAGGTCTAAGGCACTGATTTTATCACCATGCATCCCAAATTTAAAAACAAACCAACACTTGTAAAAAAAGACTAAACTATTTCCAGACTCACAATAAAAGCACAAACATACATTTTATTTGCACCAGTTAGTGATGCACCTATGCTACTTCAGCTGACTGTGAGGCTAGTCCTTCTGTTAGTGATTCGGAAAGCACAGGTATCGTGTTGTTGCTGGGTCCAGAGTAATGTTTTACCTGGATGAACTTTTTTTTTACATCATTCAAATGCTTCATTAAGACTTTGGTTTCAGTTTTCACCATGTTATACTCAGATCACGTCTCGCTAAAGGTGCACTCAGAGCTGATTTTGTCTCAGAAAATAAAGACAAAAGTACTTTTTTTTTAAATCACCAGAGAAACTTGTCAAAGCACAACATGGTAACGAGACGAGTTCCAACTCAGTACGTTATTAGAAACACACTTTTTTGTAGTAAAATAATCATTTAAGCTGTAAAATACAAAGAAATAATCAGCGTTGTGATAAACTAGAGCAAAGGAAAGGGAAGGAAGAGAAGTGCAATGGTTGTAGTAGTGGCCTACAGTGGAAGTTATAACAAAATAAAAGCACTAATAGCACCTTCTTATTTCACTTTGTTTAAATGGAGAAACACGTTGCACCATTTTAACCAGTGAACTTTTCAAGGCTCCTAACTTTAAAACCCTCTAAATCCCCTGACCTTTTTTTCTAAAACAGTGACAACTTTCTTTTATACTAACTTAAAAAAAAACCTATATAATAACTGCAGTAAAACCTAGCCCTCAGTTTGAGCAGGGACACAGTAATACAACAAACATAACAGTACTGAACACAAGGCAGTTACATTCTGATTGCCTTTGAATCAAACACGGCAAACACTTAAACATGGTAAAAATGGATAATAATTAATATAGCAGATAAAAAAAATTAAAATCAGTTTAATAAAACTCAAAGCAAATCAAGTATGAAAGAAGAAGAAGGGCACCATCCTCTTCTTTTGTAGTGTCCTTACTTAGACTTCTTTTGTGCTGACCTTCATCTTCTCAACCGTCTCCTGCATTTGAACACATAAAAATGTATTTTTTTTAAAAAAGAAATGTGGTCTGGTTAATTAAGAACAAATAATGAGCTAAGTATACATCAGTAGAATAGAAAAACTTTGTCCCAAATGGTGACAGAAATTTTTCTTAGGCGTGAAAACAATAAGACTTCTGTGGGTATGTAGAAAACACAAAAACACATAAAAGGCTGTTAAAAGCAAGTGTTGAGTGTGTAAAAGTACAGTTTTTACTTTAAAGTGCCCACTGTGGATATAGCAAATGAAATAAATGACTTTTTTGTAGATTGCTTTCTGGGCTAGAGGGACTTTAAACCTTCCTGAGCACAGATTGTGCAGTTCGGAGGGAGGTTTGAGGTGAACCGATTATTTTGCTGGCCTGGTTTGTAATCTGAAACAGTTTGGCTTTGCCAGAATAAAATGTTTACAGTAATAACAGATTCAGTTAGGGATGCAAGACATTGTATTTTTGGCCGATATCCAATATGCTGATATGTTAAAACTAATTTGGCCGATAACCGATACCAATACTGATTTTTTTTCTAGACCTACTTACAGAGACTACATAGCTGTCTCTGCTGTGGAATTAAAAGACTACATTATTCTGCATTGGCTTTCTCAATTTGGCCTGCTACCAAATGCAGTTGCCAAAAAGGAGGCTGAAAATGATGTAACACTATATAAATATACAACACATATAAAAAAAACCTGCATCTTTTATATCGGCGAGTTATTCTAATGGACTGGCCGATGTCCGATATTTAACTTTATCACTAATATCGGCTGATACCGATACCATGCTGATAATATTGTGCATTCCTAGATTCAATTAGTGTTTTATAAACTGGTGTTAAAATATCCTTGATATTAAAGGATCCCAATTTCCTCAGCAGGTGGAGACATTGCTGTTTTGTTTTTTTAAGGGAGTCCATGTGCTCTTTAAAACACAGCTGGATGTAAATTTATGTCCCATGGTATCTAAAGCTCTACATGCTGGCTCTGGACGCTGAGTGGCTGGAAGAGAAATCATCTGACGTCTTTAACTCTGCCCCAATAGCACAACTCTTTGGTCTTTGTGACATTCACTTTCAGGAAATTGTCACAAAAAACAATGATCAAGTTGTCAACTGATTGTTGGTACCAGGACAGAGCATCAGATGCATCCATCCATCCATCCATCCATCCATCCATCCATCCATCCATCCATCCATCCATCCATCCATCCATCCATCCATGCATCATCTTTATCGTCTTCTTCCTTTTTGGGTCACGGGGGTCACTGGTGCCCATACCCAGCTATCACTGTGCGAGAGGCAGGGGACACCTTGGACAGGTCTCCAGTCCATCACAGGGACGCAGGGAGACAAACAACCATTCACTCTCTCACTCACACTTAGGGACAATTTAGAGTTACCAATCAGCCTAACATGCATGTTTTTGATCTGTGGGAGGAAACTGGAGAAAATCCATGCATGCACGGAGGGAACATGCAAACTCCACCCAGAAAGGACCCCAGTTAGGATTTGATCTGGCGAACTTCTTGCTGAGAGGCAACAGCTCTACCAACTGTGCCACTGTGCCGCCAAGCTATACATAGCCCACGTTAAAATAAAAACACATCTAAGGTCATTTCACGTTTTAAGGATCGATGACTATGACATTTTTGAGACTCAAGTTTCAGTAAGGCAGTGATCCACTTTGGTTTTGGTTCCGTGCAGACTAGCCATTAGCTCATGAGTCCAGTCAAAATTAAACTTTATTCCTTCAAATTTAGGTGTTCAAACAACTATCTACAACAGGTAAGCTGTTTATTGTTCATAACATCTCTGCAGATCTTCACATGACGGTATCTTAACTATGTCTGTAAATGTAAATCATTGCATGGATTTGGGAACATTAATGAAAACAAATGTATGTAAATAAAGCTGATCAGTTCATCTTTAAATCCAAGAAAGCTGCAGAAAGAAAAGTATATGCAGAAGTGCTGCTGCCCTCTTTTCCCTATCATGCAGATGCTGCATGCACGATGATGGTTGCCAGATACATTTAAAATGTCTTATTTACCTCCTCCTTTTCAGTGCACATGTTCAACAAACATAACACACACCTCATCTTAGAATATCTGTACTCAGCACATATGACAGTTTAGGTCAAAATACTATCATTTTAAAGCGACAGTACTATAGTTCATAATTTCTTATCTGGCAACCCAACTGAAATGGAAACTACAGCGTTTTTCATGTAAACCTGCTCATTTTTTGTTTATGACCCCCAATAAACATTGAAAAAACACTAACGTTTCCAGAGGTTGTGTAAACGGGGTCTTATAGTAGGAAAATCACTTTGACTTGGTCATTTTAAAAGTAGCTCGCATGCTGAAAAAGTGTGTACACACCCCTGCTACATCCAGTTAGGAGGGACTTTGAGAAAATGACAACTTCTCATGTGGTCTGATAAACTAAAATTCAAAGGTATTTTAAAGAATCACACCCACTGCTGCTTCAGCGCTAAAGAGAAGAGACATTTAAACACCATGACACAGCTCTGAAAGACATTTGTAAAAACAGCATGAATTATTGGCTCATGTGTAAATATGCTGTGTTTTAGAGCGATGCATCCATGTAGAACAGTGAGGCTAGATCTTTGGAAAAGATCTTGTTTATTCCAACCTGACATTGTCAACCTTTAACTCTTTTTTTTTTTTTTGGTAATCATTGGGGCTCCTTTAAAAAAATAACTCATGGATTAAACTGTACATTTTTTTTACAGCATTCTTTTACTTTAGAAAACGGTTGTATTTTGAAGGTGACTTTAGATTGCACATACACGGAGTAACATTTGTTTGACATTGACATTAAAAACCACCTCTCCGTGGGGTGCCAGGTACACCACATCGCTGACACAGCTGAAGCCAGATCCCTGGAGTTGGCTTGTGAGGATCATGAGCTCATTCACACGTATAAGTAAGAATACACACTCACACACACACCTCAAATAAAGCTGGCTAAGTAGTCCAGTTTTGTTTTAATATTTAAGGATATATGTCTATTTTGTTCTGATTAGAGGGTTAACACATTTAGATTGATCTGCGTTTAAAGTAATTAAATCATGTCTTAGAGATTCATGTCTGCCCTTCACATCTAAACCTGACTCGGTATAATTTAGTTAACATCTTATTTCTTAGCTTTAAAGTTATTGTTTGACTTGATATGCCTGGAGCGATAAAGTTGCTGACTTGGTTGTAATGCAAACGCTCTTTGACACACGCTGCAAGTAATCGTGTCTGACACCGAGTTCACGGTTTATAAAGGTGACATTTCCTGGACTTTCAGCCCAGCCCAATGGAAGGAGCTCCGGAATACGCTGTCAAAGCTGCGAACATCTGGTTAGCAAAACAAAGAGCAAGAAGTTCTGATTCTGATCAGTTTCAATCACTGATCTATCAATCAGAGCCAACACCGACCTGGTGTTTGTTGAGCTCATCCACACGGAGGTTCCACTCCTCCTCCGTCATCTCCGCTCCATCATCTGCTGACTCCTCTTCCGCCGCCTGTTTGTCTGGACAGATAACAAAAACGAAAAGGGTCAAAGGGCATGTGATTTGCCAAATGAATTCCCTAAATCATTCTAATGGGAATAAACAGGACAGAGACCTTTACCGCTGCAGGTCATAGCGGTGCAGACCCAGTTACCACAAGCACAGACGCAGCTGTTACACTCCACCTGGGTCTCCGCTCCGTCCTCGTACAAATCATCCTCCAAGGCACATTCTGTGGAAAGACACACGAGCTCAACAACCAAAAGGCCTGATAGTACGCTGCAGGGGAGTGATAAGATATGAGCGTCCACGACAAAGATTCATCAACATTTCAGCCAAACTTCTTATCAAATGCTCTCGGTTAATATTAGCTGAGTCATGATGAGTGGTCAGCAAATTTTCCAACACACACTTGGTGAACATGAGAGTATGATTAATGGTTATTCTATAAAAATAACAATAAAGACACGTCTCAGATAAAACTCCAAAAATCTTTAGGTTTGAAAATCTTAATTTCCTTCCCTGAAGGAATTTGTGTCCTAAAGCTGGAGGGGAGAAAAAACCACTCCTGCTAGCCAACAATGTGTGTGTTGGCCCTTAAATCAGTCGCAGCTCGAGGTTTCAGAGCTCCTGATTGGCTGACGGAGTTATTCCTCCGCTTCCTGTGAACTTTATCCCAGATACATCCACACCAGACGGCTGACGGCGCAGACTGCAAACACCACATAACGGACTGAGCTTCAAGCTATAGAAAATAACAATTTAGAGGTTTATTTTTACTTTTTCTCATTTACTATCACCCGCTACCAAAAGGCAAAAACAGATGCTGTTTTTTGCCCATGTCTGTGTGTCTGTTACCAAAATATCTCATGAAGCTCTGGTTGAATTTGAATTAAACTTTCAGTAAGTAATCACTACAAGTGCAGCTACAGCTGATTAACTTTTGGAATCAGACCCTTTCAAGATGGCTGCCAAAGCCAACTGATTTTAGTAAACACAAACATCAATAAAACTCAATAAATTTTACAGATACTGACCTAATATTTGGTGTGTTAGTAGTTAATCTTGATCCTCAGCATGTGTTTTTGAACACTAAAAGATTGATTAATTTCTTTGTTAAAAAACTCCCTTGAACTATTTGGAGCCAACTTTGTTGGGTCTGTTAGCAAAATATCTCAAGAAACACTGGATAGATTTTAATGAAATTTTCAGGAATTAGTATCTAGATGCACATCTACAAATGGTTACCTTTTATGAATTATATTACCTTTAATTTAATTTGAGATGTCTGCCAAAGCTAATCAATATTAGCCAACACAAGAAAAGGCTATAACTTTGTCAATTTTAACAAATATTGAGCTCAGACTTGGTGTGGTAGTAGCTAAGATTCATATGACCAAAACAGCTCAAACTCCATAATATTTTTTGGCCTATAAATCACAATTTTTTGCATAATGCCCATGCCCTGTGACTTATACGCTGAAGCGACGTATTTATGGATTTTGTTCCAATATTTATAAATCAACTTTTGGCTGAGATATGACCGTTTTCATTCATTCTGGCTGAAAATATTGAACACTACCATTTTCAGCCGTTAGATGACACTCGAGCTGTATGGCATGTCATTGTGGCATGTAATAGGTAAAAGTAGCTATTAATGACACAATCGGCTTGCCATACAGGTCCACCTCCATCCAGCTCGCTTGGAGCAACCGTCAAATCAGCTTCACTTCGCTGCACTGTCTCGGTGAAATGCAGCTAATTTGACCATTAAAGTGCATTTATTAAGTAAAAGTTCAACTGAGACACACATTTACTATAATGTCGAGCAAACAAATAATTGCTTTTAGGTGTTTATCTTGTTAAATTTTGAAGAAATGCACAGCGTTCCGTTGGCAGCCAATCGGTTTTTTGGCACAACGCCGGCCCACATTTCCAGGTTCGGCCCCAATGGCGTCAGAAGCATCCGTAATGTGGGGGGGGACACAAGCGCGTGTGCGCGCGCACGTTTAAAAAAAGTGTTCACTACTGTACAAAAAAGCAGCATTTCACCTAGATTTCCTTTAATTCCACACATTTAAAGCATGTTTCTCACCAAGTTTGTGTAAATTCAGCTGTGGATTTTAAAGACATTTTAACTTTCATACACTTTAATACAGAGCGTCAGGTCGGCACTATTTGTCTTTATAGAGAAATAAAAAATCATCACCACTGGACTTTTTTTACTTGTGGTCAGCACTACTCATCTAAATGATGTTTCTCATGAAGGTTGAGGACAATAAGGTGTGGGGTTTTAAAGACATTTCAACTTTAATGCACCTGAACACACTGCGTCTCTTACACCTGCAGCATCTGACAGCGTCACACTTACTGCTAAGGGAACATGCTACAGATGTAGCTCCTCTTCTCTCCTCCTAACATGAATATATGTTTCTGGTCAACAACTGCCCACACTAAGCTGCTAAACTGGTGAGCGAGCAACACAGAGGTCGGTCCATCTCCTCCACCTGTGCGCGTTTTCTTGCTGAAGCAGAAGGAGACGCACAGAAACATTGCAGGTGTTACACTATATTCTGTGACCACCGTATATTGTGACCGTGGCTTGGAGGTAACCAGGAAAACCTGGAGTGGAGTTTTAGTGGTTTGAGTTTTCTCCTATTAATCAAGTGGAATGGATTTGTTCACGAAGAAAGAGAAACTGCGCCGCTTGAACTAATGTTCCATAGTAAAAGTGGGGGGGTCCAAATGAACGTTTTTGGAATGTGAGGGGGACTTGTCCCCTTCACATATAATGGTTGCGATGCCTATGTTCGGCCCACATTTCTAGGTTCGGCCCACATTTCCAGGTTCGGCCCACATTTCCAGGTTTGGCCCACATTTCTAGGTTCGGCCCACATTTCCAGGTTCGGCCCACATTTCTAGGTTCGGCCCACATTTCCAGGTTCGGCCCACATTTCCCGGTTCGGCCCACATTACTAGGTTCGGCCCATATTTCCAGGTTCGGCCCATATTTCCAGGTTCGGCCCACATTTCCCGGTTCGGCCCACATTACTAGGTTCGGCCCATATTTCCAGGTTCGGCCCATATTTCCAGGTTCGGCCCACATTTCCCGGTTCGGCCCACATTACTAGGTTCGGCCCATATTTCCAGGTTCGGCCCATATTTCCAGGTTCGGCCCACATTTCCCGGTTCGGCCCACATTACTAGGTTCGGCCCACATTTCCAGGTTCGGCCCACATTTCCAGGTTCGGCCCATATTTCCAGGTTCGGCCCACATTTTCGGGTTGTCAGAGGTGACGCGTATCAAACGCAACGCATCAGCAGTGACGCATAATAGATGTGACGTATACGGCGAAGCAACATATTTATGGATTTTTCCACTTTATTAGACATATTTGGACTGATGCAACTTATAGGGCGGTGTGACACGTACGGCGGAAAATACAGTACTCAGCAAAAGATGATTCTAGTTAAAAGTCTGGCGTGAAAGGTGGTGAGCGATATGCATTCATTGAAAGAATGCTGGGCCTCTTCATATGTCTGCAGAGCTTTAATGTAGCCTCACATCAAATTATTTCAGGGTATTTGTTTCAACTCACTCTTCTCTGGTGGATTGAAACCAGGTTTCAGACAGTTGAGGAACTCGTCAAAGCTCAGTTTCCAGTCGGCGTTCTCGTCAGAGAGCTCAATGAGGGCATCGACACAGAGACTCCTGGGGGAAACAAGCAAAAGCAGAATAAAATGAGCATTTGCTTACAAATAGTGACAACCAAGCAGCAGAGAAACCTGCAGCGTTAATGATAATTAGCTGAGTTTTATTCCACAGAAAGCAGATGTTAGCAGGTGCCCACAGGAGGCCTTCAGTCCTGTTTGTTCTGGTCCTGACTGGCTTCATCAACCTATACTACAAGACTTAGCAAACACAATCTATGTTTTATCACATGAGCAAATATTTAAAAGTGCGTGGAAAGAAATGCAAACAGCAGTTGTTCTTACACCCAGACTTCCTCATGCACACAGATGTGAGCTCATGAAACACACTGACCTGAGCAGCTTGTTGCTCTCCTGGTCTGCGTAGGACTGCAGCTGCACCATGGAGTCGTTGTGCTGGATGAAGCTGAGCAGTTCTGAGGAGTCCAGCTGAGAGTCGCCGTTGTCATAGGACTGCAGAAGCATGAGCAAACAAAGAAAAGGCGCAGATATGCTCAATGTGCGATAAAACAAGAACTACTGGTACATAGTATGACCCACTGGTGACTCAAACGTACACTGAGCAAAGGTCTTTTGTCTTTCTTTTCTTTTGCTTCTAAACAGTCAAGATTTTCCAAAACATGTTAAAAGTAATTTGATCATTTGTAAGACATTTGAAAAGTGAAAGTCTTTCTAAGTTTTTTTTTTTTTTTTTTGGTCTTTGGCTGTTTTTTCACCCATTCTCTGACTGCCCAGTGCACAACTATTTTCAGAGAAACGTTTTTTATTTGTTACATTTTGTTATAAACCCCTTGATTTTGACAATAAAATATTCAAACAGAAAAAGGCTTCTACTGTAAAATCATCATAGATATTAAAGTTGACACACATGAAATGGTATTTTAGCACCAACAAAGCAGAATTAATTTATATTGCACTTGGTAGCATGATACATTTATGAGGTCTTGTGTCATCAGTTGTGGGATTTTTAAGAAACAATACGTTCAGAAACAGTTCGTCTGCTGAATAGACTGAGACTTTTACCTCCACTTGTTGACTTTCCTAATATTTTAAAGAAAATGCCAGTTTACAACAGGTACTGGACACAAAACTAGTGATAAAGCAGCCAAAGTCAAAATAAAAACCTCAAAAAAGGTTAAAAAGATTACAAGAAAGGTCGACTGCTTGGAAGCATTTATCAAAACAAAAAGAAGGTTCAAACTTTTGTATACTACTATATCTGCTGGGTTCAATTTATTATTAACATATAAATACATATCTAACAAAGTTAAGTCAGGTCCTCTGGATGGATTAAAAAAAAAATATATATATATATATATATATAATTGTTGAAACATTTCTTCTTTAATCCAGAAGACTTCGTCAGTCTGAGGAGCGGCACTAAACTCAGTCAAATATAGTATGTATATTGAATTTTCATGCTGCATGAATTCTAGTATCTCCGTTACACTAAGTTTTGCAATACTTGTTCAAGTACAACACTTAACACAAGACTTGAGCTATAATTCAGTAATATCATATGAAGTAGTAATATCATGTTGAATAATATTTAACATAAGCACCTCAAACACATACTCTGTTTACAACCTGTATTATTTCTATATTTCCCTCTTTCTTGTAACCATTTCTGTGCACTTGTGCAATATATTTTATCAAAACAGATGAGGCACTCTATGGCACTTTATAACTATTAAAACAACTTTTTTTTCCTGTACTAACAACTAGATAATGTTTTTTTTTTTTTCTTCAATTAAAAAAACGAAACTGCTCAAAATGCCATCTGCTCCTTTAAGCCAGAAACAGGCGAAACCATCAGCTAACACTTATAAGGTCCGTCTGACTTGAGCTTCAAGTGGTTGTAAAGGAGGCCTGCACGGTGTTGTGTGCACTAATAGGGTCATTCCTGCACTTCTGGACACCAGCAGCAGAAAGAGGCCCACCTTGAAGTAGTTCAGCAGGATTTCAGTGAAGTTGGACCCCTTTACGAACCAGCCATCTGGGACGACCTGAGTCTGCAGCCACTGGATGACCCGACTCCTCAGCTCGTTGCGATCAGCAGCGTAGCACACCACTGCAGCAAGAAAAAGATTTCCAAACGTCATCAGCTTTAAAAAATAGTTGACTCCTTTTTTTTGTTGAATCGGGACGTGAAGTAATCACTTTTTCTACAACAGATAATGCCAAACGTGACAACAACCTAATATGGTTAAAAGATACTGATGTAATACATAAAATGTCCTTCTCATTTCCGAAAACGTTTGCAGCAAATTCTCTCAAACACGAGCTCACCTGGATTGGCAGCTGCCTGCTTGGTTTTCTTTTCTAAAGAAGAAATAAAGACAAACACATTTAGAACGAATGAAGCTAAAAGAATCAAAAAGCCTTGTACAGTAGATGATGGCACAGTTCAATTCAGACATAAAGACTCTGATTCATCTGCCGCAGGTCAAGGTTCAGGCCGGCAGTAAAACAATGACACTTTGTCGCGTGAAAGGTGAGAAGTTCACTTCAGATAAGACGCTGCTGTCCGCCGTGTGAACAGACGAGCTGAGGTCAGAGTGTGGCGTCAGTTTGCAGCGCCGCGTGGACGCTTTTCACTTTTACAGTACAATGAACCCAACCACCTCAACTTATCAGCTCCATGAAAATGTGCCAGTTCAGAGATCACGTTAATCAGTTTATTGCCTGTGTGCAACATCATCAGCATCTGCGCCACATAACGATCAGAATAGAATTTATTACCACACTGGCTGTTATCTGTCGAAGCACTTACACAGCAGCCCAGGTTACAGATAATTCAGTTCAGTTTATTCTATAGCACCAATTCAAACAAAAGTCTTCTCAGGACGCTGTAGAAAAACACCAATTCCATCCATCCATCATCTTTGCCCGCTTCTTCCTTTTCAGGTCACAGGGGTCACTGGTGCTCATATCCAGGAGTCACTGTGCGAGAGAAGGGATCAACACTGGACAGGTCTCCAGTCCATCACAGGAACACATATAGAGACAAACATTCATTCTCTCACTCACACCTAGAAGCAATTTAGAGTTACCAGTCAGCCTAACATGCATGTTTTTGGTCTGTGGGAGGAAACCAGGTGTAGGTGATTTACCACTGTGAGTGGTTTCCCCACTCTGTGAGCGGGACTGTCAGCTCAAAGTGGGCGGTATCGTAACAGGTTATTGTGTTCAAGCCACTCTGCCCGTTGTGGTCTTTAATAACCCTATAATTAGACATCAATTTCTTTAGCTTATCCCGTCACTGCTTATAAGTCCGAGTGTAGCCATGCTGCACCATCATCTCTGTATCTTTCTCATTTCTTGTGGCGCCGTCCAGCTCACGCTGAATCCTAACATCGGCCATGAAAGTTAGGACGGTCTGTACGTCATCACTGGTCCACGGCACTATGTTTGGAGCTTCCTTATCAGAAACTAACAAAAACAACACACTCAACACGATCAAAGAGGAAATGTAGGTTCAGGTTTAGTTTGCAGTTTTGCTGGACGGGTCATTCGTTGACGTAGCTCCGCTGGTGTCTGCCTATGTCAAAATCATCACCTTGGAGCAGTTCGCTTGGAACCACAAACAAAGTGGTCCCATAAACTGGGCTGAGGGGGAGGGTGGGTGTAGCAGCAGTGGGCAGGCCCTTAACTGGTGTGGTGTGGAACCGATGAGAGTTGAGACTGTGGCAAAGTGCCAATAGAGCGGAGGAACAACGCACTTGAAGTACGTTAGGGTCAACTGTCCAGGAACATGGGGAGTGTGGTAAAGAGGTCAAGAAGAGAGTCCAGGCAGGGATGGAGTGGATGGAGACAAGTTTCAGGAGTGATTTGTGACCAAAGGGTGTCAGCAAAGGTCAAAGGAAAAGTTTGCAAGAACGCAGTGAGACAAGTTATGTTGTATGGCTTGGAGACAGTGGCATTGATAAAAAGACAGGAGAAAAAAAAATGGCAGAGAGGAAGATGTTGAGGTTCTCATTAGGAGTGACAAAGGTGGATAAGATTAGAAATGAGATCATCAGAGGTACAGCACAGGTTGAACAACTGGGAGATAAAGTTAGAGAGACCAGACTGAGATGGTTTGGACATGTCCAGAGGAGGGACAGTGGGTATACTGGTAGAAGGATGTTAGAAATGCAGCTGCCAGGAAAAAGACAAAGAGTAGATACATGGATGCAGTTAAAGAGGACATGGAGGTAGTTGGAGTGAGGACAGAGGACGGATGGGGATGACTTCCTGTGGCAACTCCATTGGAGGGAACAGTTGAAAAAAGAAGAAAAAACATTTAATTTTTTTAATTTTTTATGATTAAAGGATCAGTAGTATTTAGGTTTGCTGCATCCCAGCATGTTAGGGATTTTTATTTTTTGAAAACACAAGCTTCCATGATGAGATGTTTGGTGTCATGTGCTTGTACCCCGGCAGTGTCCGTCATGGGCCGCTTGGATCTTCAGTCCGGTGAGACAAGCATCTCTGTGGAGCTCACAGTGGTTCCTGTAGGTCTTACCATTGCTGCCACATACTGACCTCTTGTGGGGCTTACAGCTCTGCAAGAAGAGCAGAATATTAATGGAAACAAATCAAAAACAAGCGTCTCCTTGCTGCACAACAGGATTTATTCTGGACCACCAAACCAGAGCTCACCTCTATGCACAGGCAGCTCGGCTCCCCCTTCTCGTTGACGGCACACTCTCTGCCGGCCCCACAGAACACATTGGCACAAACTTTGCTCTTGCTCTGCGGCTCCTGAGTGACAGAAATTGCTAACACTTTAGTTGCTGCTTTGACACACTAGGTGGCGCTGCAGTATACACAGCATGGCTACAGGATGGCTCGCATAAGAGACACAAACATTGTTTGTAAAAGCACACCTATAGGCAAAATGTGGATCAAAGGTTAAAAGCAGCCCAACATGGCGTTACTGGGAAAATGTGGGATGGTTAATGAGTTTAAAAGAAATTAAACTACTTATTAAAAAAATTAGACTCACACTAAACCACTCATTTCAACGTGTAGTCACTCTAATTTGCTCCTGCTGGTACGTTGCATGTGCGGTTTTAAATCGTTTCTTTGTTTCGAAAAATTGCCAGCAGGTCAAAAAGAAAACAAAAGAACATTTAAAAATGAGGTCACTGGTATGCTGAACCAATCACGAGACGCCATGCGGAGCTTTAAGAGCTGTTTGTTGACCCTTGTTACCTCCTCCTCCCCATGTATGCGGGTCTTTGTGTGTGTGTAGGGTGTTTCCACATCTGGAGTCTGAGCTGTGTTTTCCTGTTGGGTCGGTTCCCATACTCTGAAATCTTTTCTCCTCTGTTGCTCCAGACTCCACTCCCTCCAGCCCTCTCCTCTTTAAAAGCGTCTGTTTCCTGAACGAGCAAGTCGAAAAGTTCCTGCACGTGAGCTGGAGCCCAACTTTGCACGTGTGTGTTTGTGACTGTACCAGTTGGTATGTAAGAAGCTAGATTATTGTCACGGCACTTGAGGGATGGAAGGGTGGTCACATGTGAGCTTAACACAACTGCAGCTCAAAAGTGTCAAGAGGAGACGGATCTTAGGGGTTTATTTTTTTCATTTCCAATCCACAGTTCACTCTTAAGTTGAGGTCATGGAAAATCTTCAAAGCGGGCCGTGTGGCCCTGAGGCACATCGGCCAATTCAGCTGGTTCGACACAGATGGGCTGCAGGCCCGTCTGAACCTGTAGAAACATTCAGCAGGACATGAATAATGGATGAGCCCCTTAAATAAATCTGCTGCAGTGATAGAAGTCTGTCAGTCCGTGTCTCTTTGAGCTAAGGATCCCTGACATTTAGCTAATGAACGCGGAGGCTGTTGTTTTCAAGTGGCCTGTTGCCATAGTGAGCACATTCACCGGCTGCTGCTGCTGTTTTAGAGAGCTGTCCATAACACTGGTCACACTTTGGGTTTTTGTGTGTATGTAGGAAACAATGGACAGAAACGACTGTAAAGTCCTCACTGTCAACAAGGAGAAGCAGCCTGATGTGGTCGTTGGGCCCAGTCTGGCTGTTTACTGTGGATACAACCAGTTCTTCTCTTTTTCAAGTCATCACATGTACTTGTGACAGAAACTGAGGTATAATTTGGTATTTACGTTGAACCTTAGAAAAAATGATCCATGTTTACTTCAAAACATCATCAACATTTCCCCGTCATCCGACCCCTCTTGATTTCTATTTATTCCAAGAGTTAAATGACACTATGTGGTGACAACGTACTTCAGCCTCAAAAATGTTAATTTAAAGTAGATTTTAAGTAATTATCCACCGGATAAGATGGACAGACTCTGTTTTGACAAACTTGCTATGTACTATAGCTGATTGCTGTAGCTGAAATCTAGAAAATCTAGCTGCTTTGCTATTTTTTTGCCATCTTTTTTTAATAAGTAAAAAAAAAAAAAAAATCAGTATGCCTCTTATATGATTGTCTATTGTTGTCATCATTCTTTGTTGAAATCAGGTCTCTCTTGTAAATGAGTCCTCGAGGCTCAATGGGATTAACCTGTCTAAATAAAGGTTGAATAAATTTCTGGTTCTGTAAGAGTTTTACATAATTTCCTGATTTTGCATTATCATTACATTAACCTTCATAATAAAACAGATGAAAGGTTACATTTCCATAACTTTTACTGCTTGATGCTTGACTGACGCTAATTTGATGCCAATTCTCTTTGTTCCAACACATCAGTGTTTTTGGACCATTATTGTATTTGGATATTTACTGAACAATCCCTGATCTCATGACAGTAGCAGTTTAAAATGGTAGTTCTATTCGAATCAGTCACCAAGCTCCCAAAATCATCACTCTGTCTAATAAACAGATGTAGATTAGGGTGTGCTATCTCTTCAAGCAGCCTCTGCTTCGACACACCTGCACTGAGCTTCAGACATCCATATATTTAAGCACTAATTGCAGGATTTGGAGAATATGAACAAATTGTAGATTAATAATTATGGTGGTGCTGGTAAACCCAAAATATCTAAGCATATCACAGCCCAGTTATTGTTCAATTGGCCGTGTTAAAATACCACAGGTAGGCAAACGGTGCATGATGTCGATTGCTCAGCCTGAGCGACCTGCTCGTGGGGACTGTAGCAGGTGGTTAGATTGGGGCGGCACACCTGTCAAGCTGCAACATAAGGAGAGCTCAGGGAGAACACCTCCTGTGAAGCTGAAGAGAACGTCTGCACCTCAGCTGAGCAATTACAGGTGGTGTTTTTCACAAACTCAAGCTCAAAATACAAATTCCAAGAATGCTTGGTCCTGTGGTTCAGGTGAGGAAAAGGAGAAGCTCCACAAACATTTCAAGAAATCCATCATGGATGCTGTTCACAGTTTGTCACCAACAGCTGAATGAGGTAATGACTTTTGGTCGTGGCCCAGGTCAGACTAGTCAGATTAGCTTGTCAATCTGGGAAACATCTAAAACATTCAGCATAGTGACCATCAATGGAGGAGCCAGAGGGTGGCCAAAGGAGGCCTCAGCCACCATAGCCACCCAACCTGCCACCGCAATCATTTGAGGAAACTACACTTTTAAGCAATATAAAAACTAGAAAGTATAGTTTCCTCAAATGAT